TTCAACTTACTAAAATTATGAMAGACTAAAAGTATGGAAGAATTCCAGATCCCCCATTATCCTGTAGCACAGGGAAGCAAAAAACCTCTCACCGTGGCTGACTAGTTCTTCAAAAGCTGTTATCACATCTTCAATGCGAGGCACCAACACAGGTTTCAGCAGACACAACAGTTGGTGCAATGGAAGTGGCCATGGACACTGCGGCTCTGAAGCAGCACAAACATTTCCTGACCACGCTGGGCTTCCAAACAGCTCGATACGGGCAGTGTCCTGGCACTGCTGATTCCCCTAAGCTTCTATGGGAAGGATTCACATGCACTGCTGCCCCGTGTGAACTGTCTGCTGAAAAGAGGGACATCAGAGCCAAATCCTCCAGGATGAAAAGGCACAGGATAGAATCCAAAACATCCCTGGTCTCCCCTACAAGTACTCCATTTCTCTTCTCATCTCGTCTATCTCCCCTTTCTCCGGGAAAGAGATAAGGAGATAAGGAAATAGATACTACTCTTAAAACATTTCTGTTCCTCTCTTAGTGACTTGCTGTCTTCAGCAACCTGGTCAGAGTGCAATCCTTGAGCACCCACATTCCTTGAGCCTTGAAACCTTACAGCAAAAGCAGCATGAAAATGAGAAAACTATTCAGTATTACAGTCAATTCTGTTTGTCTTTTCATTACTTCCCTAGCTGCTGATATATCCACTGAAGATAATGGAAAGGTGGATGAAAATCACAGTTTTTTGCTGGGAACTATCTAACAAGCCTGGACTATCGCAGTCCTCTGGGAAATCCAGCCAGCTCTCCCCTTGCTGTACAGCAGTGTGAGGGAAGGGGAATGCCTCTGTAAGGTTTATGAGATGTACAATGCTATCTAGAATAATTGGCATTTTTGGTTTTTAAAGGCTTGCTGATGAACCCCACACTAAGAGCTGGTGTGAATCCAGCTTGCAGCTTCCCCAGCCAGCAATCCTCACAGGTCACAACTGCATTACAGTAAAAACCATGCAATTATAGCAATACAGGAAACAAGGATTAATAAAATACCAGAATTAACAGAGGGAGGGGGGCAGAGGGGGAGCCACAGCAGAAATGAGTTGAAGAACAGTCTGTGCGATGACAAACAGGTCTCTTCTCTGACATCCATGAAGCTCCTAGGGAGCCACTGAAGGAGGACATGATTCACTGCTCTAGCCATATGCAGGTCTTTGTGAGGCTGAGTCTTAATAGATTTCTGTAATACATACATCATTTAAAAACATACTTCCATTTAAAAGTTCAGTTTTTTAAGTACATCAAAGCTTTGAAAATGTAGATTTATTTCTTTTAATAGTGCATATTAATAATATTGATATAATTATCACTATTCATATTTGAAGACTCCTGAATACAAATTTTTCAAAGGTTACTTGAAATTCAGAATTGGGAGTAAAGAGATCCATAATTTAGTGGGTAGAAGTAGGAGTCAGGCTTTCTGGTGCCTAATTTTCCCAGTATTTAAATACTGCAGAGAATCAATGCAAAGCTCTTAAATGAACTTTGGAAAAATGCTTCATTCTCAGTGCTACACATACTCAATATATAAACTCTATAGACTAAAATTCATACAGTTTTACAAAGACGTGTGGTTTAATTGAGCGCTTTGAGATCTCACGGTGAAAGAGTGAACACAAGTATAAAGTAATATAATAAACACACCACCATTCATTAGAATTATTAAAATTCATATAACTAAACTCTATAATCTAAGCAGGAGGGACCAAGTTATTCATGAGTGTTTAATACAAGAATGAGCATTAAGTGCTATCCTCCCGCTCGCAGCAAAGACATAGGGGGATGTAAAGCCCTATTTAAGGATAACAAGATAATCCAGCAGCCAAAGTGTCCAAATTAACCACCCGCAATGGCCACATCAGCTACGTGCCAGCAGTCTGAGGACTGTGACTAAGTTGCCCATACATTTGCATRAGTTATATAAAAACGAATGCATAAAGTTATATTTATCTGTACTTGTATCTTCTCTGATATGAGTAGATGTTGCTTGTCCACCCACAGTAAAAACTTACAGTATTGTAGGTTCATAAATACAGAAAGGAGGAGAGCAAATTACAACAGATTTCTCCCAGGCTGTACATTAAATACCACTCAGAGCTGMGAACAGCAGCAAGGCCTCAACCAGGCATCAACATGATACCATTTCCACGCTATCATGTCCCCAAAGCAAGGTACCTTCAGAGGAAATATGTCTGATCCCATGTGATAAATAACCTCCCTTTTCCACCCTTGCACAATTCTCCTGTGATAGAGCAATGTGATGGAGCAGATCCCACCAAAAGCCTTCCCATCATCGCCTTCCACAGAGCACAATCAGGTCCTTGCTGCAGAGCACGGGGGATGTTCATCAAGATTTATAAACATGATTTCTCTGTTCATCTTTCTGCTTCCTAACTTCATAATCTCCGTTTCCTGGCCTAATGCCATGCGTTGCTGTTCTGTAGTTGATTTACAATAAACAGAAGACAAACTCTGTAAACTTGTATTTTACTGCCAGTGACACACACTTCAAATTCCCTCTGTATTCTCAATGAGAAGGAGAAGAAGAAAAAAGATGTTACTATATTTCCTCCAGATCTTTGTAGTAGCTGGCTTAATCCCTAATTGAAAAAGAGTAGATTGTTATGGAGACACAAATTATACTGTACATAATGAATTTCATCAGAATACAAATATAACAATATTGATTTTTGCCTTTCAACTAGGGAACGTCATATTTTAAACTCGGGACCCATTTAGCTTTCCGTTTTCTCAAAGTAGTTGTGAGGAGACGTGGAATCTCAGAGCAATTGCAAGGATATGTGGAGCTCAAATCCAGYTTAATGACAAAGGGGAAGAGAAACGAAGAAATCTCAATTAATGGAACCAGAGATAACCAGATTTGGTTTCTGAGTAAAGAGTAACAGATTAGGGAGATGAAACCAAACATTCATATAGGAAATATCAAGGTTTGGAGGAAGAAKTGACAAAGGCCTGGATATCTCAAGTTGAAGCTTACATATTGCCCCTCTGCAAGATCACAGCTTAAAAAGGGCCAGATTGCACAAGATTAAAAAACGTCAGTCTGCACTTTGCATTTCCTCTTTTGGTTAGTTTTCTTCATCACTGAACTCTTATTTTTGCAATAAAATTACTCCAGTGGGTAAGGCTAATATATTTAGTTTCAGGAAAAACAAACATAAAAATCCAACTTCAATTTAAAACACATCCTCACCTATATTTCTTAAGTATAGCAATACTGAATTTCCAAGGAATATAACCTGTTAGGTAATCTAGTAGGTAACTGCAGGCTGTAGCATGTGGAGATATATTTATAGTTGTTGTTATTTTCTACCCAATGCACTGATCTACTCCRTAACTACAAGATTAACAAGATTTCTTGAAATATTTATTGCGTATCCAATTGAACAGAACATCTTCTTCGGATGACACAATATAAATTACCTAATTAAAACACATGATCTGCGTAATAAACCCACATATATAAAACATGTGCAGCAAACAGTTTTTCAGCCCAAATGTGTCATCAAATTGTTTTTTGTTTTTTGTTTTCATGTTCAATTTAGGAAAAAAAAGTACACCGCATGTAGACTAGTTGTCTCCCAAATTTCCTTATTTCTTTCAATTACAAAGGCATTGTCATTACACAAATTTAAACTGAGTTTCTCATGCTGGTAGACTTGTGATCTATTTTCTGATTTTAACTTTACAAAACAAAAAATTACATCTCGAAAAGTCGATATATATCTGTGATGTTGAAGTTATGTATAGTAGCAATATAGATAATTCCATATCACCATTTGAACTTTTGCTGATCAAAAAATATCAGTGTGACACAGAACGAGCATAGCACATATAGTCCCAATGGACAAACTCCCAAAGGGTAAAATAAAAAGGGTAAAAGGGTAAATCTGATCCTTGAGAGCATGAAATGAAGAATAGCATGTAATAGAGAATTGTTATCATCCCTATGTATAATAATGGGAAAGGAACAAGCAATGCCCAGTTCTGTCATTCATGCATTTAAAAGGACAGCAACATCCCTAGAACTGACTTAGCAAAGAACCATGGAAATGATTTATTCAAAACCCACCTCACAAATTTAAACTCCATCTGTTTCATTTATAAAAGAGAAGGTTTTTGAATATTAAGAGAACTTTCATTCAAACATAAAAAAGCATTAAAAAAAAATCCAAAGGTTAGAAGTTAAATCGGAAGAAATTCAAAAGAGAAATATTTAAAATACTGATAAAAAATTGGGCATTGGAACAAAATACTAAAACTTGCTCTTCCACGAAAAGGAATGTTTCTGGAGTTTACACTGTAAAAACTATATAGGTTCAAGCATAAATTAGAAGTCATATGACAGCATTACTGGATGAAGTCCTACGACTCGCAGATCAGGAGGGGTCAGACTGGTCCCTTCTGACCTTGCAATACAATTCAATATTTCCATTTAGCACTGCCATTACTTGAAGTGTGTGAGCCTTGAGAGCTCCCAGTCACAATTAAACCCTGCATCATGGAAGATCCTGAGTGAACCGAGAGATTTCACAAGCTGCTTTGCCTCTTGCAGTGAACACAGTCACATGTAAGTGGGATCAAATCCCCAGTGAGTGATGATGGCATCATCACTGGCATTGGCCAAAGGTTATTAAAATGCCATTTCTTTCATTTTGGCCATGATAGCACTGGGGACTTTGACCACATTCATTGGTAAGCAGCCTATTCCCTCCTGCTCATGCAAGGCTCCAAATTGCATTGAGGATCCCCACATTTATTAACTTTAGCTTCCCAGTGCCAGCATTTTTATCCAACAAGGCAAAAAGCAGGTAGGGGCTCATGACATGAGCTCCTCCAGGAAATACTGGATAATTTTTCCCTTGATCTGAACCTCTCTCTGAAATGCACAAAGACTCACAGCATTGGTTGGAAGGCTCTATTTTCGCATTTTAAGGCCTTAAACATCTCCAAGTTACCTAAGAAAAGATTCATTAATCCCAATTTTGAGCAGCATTTTGAGCATGGTCATTTGTAGAAACATCCATGCTTTCAAGATCTCTCCTTGCCTGTTTGAKGTCTACAGTTGAGGCAGTTGCTTTTGGGTACCAGCAGCAAGAAATTGCACATCTTACACGTAAAACGTGCAGTTCATGTCCCCAGGATTGTTATAGCTCCAATCGCCACAATAGTTACTAAAAGCATGTGCTCCAGACTGGTGGGATTCAGTTTCAATTTTTAGCATACTATTTTCACTGCATCCTACACCCAGCCGTAGCTTATCTATCATTTGATTCTGACAGATACATATTTTATATTTTGACAAGCAGCCCACTTGACTGCTTTCCTGTGACATCATCTTATCTCTGAATGTACCAACCTGTTAATAACTTCATTTTCTGGTTGAATTTTTCCAAATTAAATTAAGCAGACGAAACATGCTAAGCTCACCAAGTCCTTTTAACACTTCTGCTGAAGGGCATCTTCTGATAGCTTGATTKTGAAAAGGGCAGCAGGCAACCTGTTCTGAGAAGGATTTGGTCCAAGATATCAGGTTTGTAGAAGGTAGTAGATTTTTTCTTAGCTAAAAAAAAAAAGGAGAAAACACAACAGCAAACAACTAAAATTAAATATTTATCATCTAACTGTTAACTAATATTCCAAAGATTATATCATTATATAATGGCACTTGAAGGAAACCCTTATAAGATAAAAAGGAGCAATCTAACATAAACTAATTTTCTATTTTTCTTCTGTAGATAGAGAGATGGAAGCTAAATATAGTGCAACGTTAGCACRGAATAATTTCCCCTCTATCTTGCAACAATAAAAAGTCAGCAGAAGCTTTTCTTTCATGTTAATTAAAACAATTTTAGGGGGGAAAAATATTCTTCCTGGATATAGCATGTAATATAGTTAATTAAATATGGACACTTTTGCACTTATCTTCTTCCATAATTAGTTCAGCTATAGAAGCAATACTGCACTGGACATGAAATCACGGGACAGCGACTAAATTTAATCAGGTAACACGGACAGAAAATCAGAAAAATCCCAGCTGTGTAATTTCCAGTATCTTTCTCCCCTTCTGCCTCCATATGCTGCCATTTAAATTTAAAAGTGACGTGGTAGCTGCACTGCTCAGTCGCTGGGCGTTAGGTACAAGTTTATTGCAATGGGAACATCCTTTGCAAGAGGTGCATGGGGAGCAGGATGGGGAATTGCAGCTTTTCCCACATCCCRATGTTATTCCCCTGGCATTACGCTGCTGAGAGCCTGTTCAGAGACCTGAACTGCACAAAATGTCATTGCATTAATTACTGCTGTGCTGAGGTTGTATTAGCATTTGGAGTTTGCATTCCTTGATATACATGAAAATACCCCGTTTAGGAGCCAAATCCTCTTCCTGCTTAATTCAAGGAGAGTTGCAGCTCACAGGTCTGCTAAATTTTAAGCCAGCCACTTACTAGAAAGCAGGTTAAGACMAATAATGAAAGACCTTAAATTATGATAAACCCTCTCATTTTCTTTACTGATGCTAAAAACATATATATATATTTATATACATATCTTTTTTTCTGGCAATGCTAAGGGTGGCCTGCTCCCATACATCTTATTGTTGTCACCATCTCTTCTCAATTTCTCTCAGGGTTTCCCTAGGAAAAACTCCAGACCTAAGACAGAAGATRTGAGTAAACTGGAATTAGAGACCTGCTACAGAAAGGCTCATCCTTTTAAATAGAGATATGTCCTGTCTGGGAGCTACAAGCTGCAGACAGCTATAAATACAAGCTATTGTATTGGGGACTTAAAAACAATCTGTGACTTTGACTTGCTTAAAACGGATTTAATTAGAACTAATACAAATGCATCTTTCCTACATGGCTGATCTAATCAGCACTGGCAGTTTTAATTACAAGCCTATTTAAGGTGAACATATTGCATTACAGTGAAAAAAAAGATGCATTATTTTGCATTGTAGGTGTACCTCCTACTTCTCTATCTGTCACACAAGCACTGTCTTTAATAGCTGTTAATGTTATGTCTCATTTTCTGAGTTCAGTTTTCTAAGTTTCTAGGCACAATCTGATGGAATCCAACCCAAATCTAATAATTGCAATCTACTTTATTTTTTCCTCACTATTTAGTTTTCATCACAAAGAAAATGACAGGTCTAATATGAGGCTCCTGAAATGTAGTTACATCTAAGCTTCAGCGCTCCAGAGCACATAAAATAAATATATGATCAATGAAATGAAACATGACAAAATGTTTCATATTGATGTTATTTTTCTTTTCAAAATGTCTTTTATGGTTAATGCCCTCAAGTCACTTTTTCCATACATTTTCTTTTTTGTAATATATAGCTTTCCTAGTTCTGATTTCAAGTTCGGGGTGCCTGGGGAGAATTGGAAGATTTCTTCAAACCAAGCCTGTTCCTTCAGCCTTTCACATGAGAAAATTGTTAGGCGCATTAAAGTATTCCTGACTATGTTGCATTCCTTTGTTCAGAGTGAGTTTTGGGAACACATCCTTTTCTCATTATATTTCCATAAAATATATTTGATCTATTCTATTCTTAGAATACCTCTGATGTGGTCTGTGAATGGAGCACAGTATAAAAATATTTCTTTTTTTTTTTTTCTCTTTATACAAGACAAAATGTTTCCATTTCTTGGACGCATAAAGAGTCACTCTATAGCGCTCCACGAAAGTAAAACTTTACAGAAAGTTTTGGTATAACTCAGCGCAGATCACAAAACGAATCCATCCCTGCAGGACTCGGCTGCAGCTCAGAGCCTCATCAAACACCCAGGCTGGGAGTGAGGGAGAGAAAGGAAGGGAGCAGAAAAAAAAGGGGAAAAGAGAGAAAAGAATGAGACCTGGATAATACTACTGGGAAGCGAGGTTATATTTAGAAGCATGGAAAGATGTTAACCATGTGCCTCCTAGAAAAAAAAATAAAATAAAAATAAATCTGCTGTAATAGTAGTTGACAATAAAATCACCTTTGGAAAAAGTCTTAATACGTTCAGAGCACCACTCGGGATATTTCCAAACGCAGACAGATGTTTGAGACGTTTACGCAGCCTGCTCATTGCAGCACTTGAAGCATTTCCCCCCCGGCTTCCCTATCTCCCTGTTCTTGTCGCTGCCTTTAGGACCTGCAGAAACACCGAGTGGGAGCCGCTTTTCACAGCTCCTTCCTACAGCCCGGCCTTGGCAGGCTGGGGCTTTGCTACACCCAAAAAGTGATGCTTTTGATCAACTTGTGCAGAGCCCTCTTTGCTCGCTCTGAAGTTCTCCGTAGCGCTGCCCTAGCCCGGCACACTGGACCCAAAACGCCAGGTTTGCTCTGCTCCGATTTAACCCCCGTGCAGGGAACGATCCCGGTGCAAAGGGCAGGAATCGCAGATCCCATCGGCCGAGCCGAGGGCGGCCCTGGTTGCGACTCCTGYCCCGCCGCGCTGCTCGCCGACCACAAATGACTCAATCCCCAGCACAAACAGGGCCCAGCTCGCGGGGCATCSCGGCTCCCGCTTCCCACGATGCCACGATCAGAGGCTCGCAGAGGCAAAACACATGCAGCTTTTTTTTTTTTTTCCATAATTTTTCAGGTTTTGTTTTAAATTCAGGTTATAAGTTTGATGCACCGTGCCGGACTGTTGMGAAAGCAACACAAAACAAAACAAATATAGAAAGCAAAAAACCCAAACCAAAACAGACATAGGAAAAGATTTTTAGGCATTTTGAAACCTCCAGGCAGTTGCGGGCTTGCCTAGGTACAGGCAGCAACWGCTGATGGGATGTAGTTTGTGCTTCTCGTCGTCCCCATAAATATATTTATTTATTGTTGATTGTTGAACAGACAAGCCGGTATTCCCTCCAGATGCTGCTTGAACAGCCTTGGAAAGGCTCGAGCCGAGTAAGCCATAAAACAGGTGAAGTAGCTCTTTGCCTTTTTTTTAATCTCACAGGAACTGAAAAATACAAGCAAAAATCACGTCCCCCTGATAAGTGAAGTCTGTGGAGAGCGATGCATTTTTTTTTCTGCATCAATCTCTCACTTTCGAGGAGTGAAATGCAGCTTATGGTCTCAAAATTGGGCTCCTGGTGTCTGCCTAGGAGCACGTTGCATCCCCGGCACCAGGAGATGCTCCGGCTGCTTCTGTGCACACAGCAGAGCCTGGGAATGTGGGAAGGATCCACGGAGCAGTGTTGGAGAGCTGTGTCGTGCAGCCCATCACACACCTGGCTGCTATCACTTTTGCTTTAAACAGCTCTAAAACGCAGCTAATAAAAAGAAAATCATATAAAGTGACATATAGGCAGGTTCGATTATAAATAAAAAAAGCTTTAGTGTGTTCTTTGACACGTGAAGTGCACGTTGAAGCAATCAGAAACACGAGCCACCTGAAAAGCAAAATAAAACAACAACAAAAATTTGGTCTAGGGACCAACTCAGCCACGTTAACAAGCCCTGCATGTGCAACAGGCTCATTCCAGCAAAGGAAACTTCTGCCCATCCAGCCTCGTGACAAAATGCCCTTGGGTCACAAGCAGAAACGCATTTTCATCACATTGCCCCCAAATTTGTAGGCACGGAGGGACGTTGAGGAAGGCCGGCCGTATTTTCCCCTGGGAATTCCCATTTGCAGCAGCTATTCCAATCGTGGCACGTGCACCACTGTCCTGCCTAAAGGCAAGGCCATGCCAAAGCCCAGTTTGGCCTTCCCAACTAATATAAAATCCCAAAAGACTGGACTTTACCCTTTCTTTACTATTTTTACTCTCTCCATTTCCTGCCTCGCGCTCTGCACCTTTCCTTAACAAACACTTCATCGACGTTTCTTCCTATCATCCCAGCGATCTACAGGATCGATCCCTGAATTTGCAACATCTTTTAAGCACGTCAGAGATCAGAAATGAGCCATATCTCACTTTCTAATAAGTTTCCAAATAAATCACTGCCTTGTTAAAAACAAAATATAGTTCCCTCCACTAATGATCAAATTCTAGAGTTTAGCAATGTTAATGACCCTTTACTTTGGAGCACTGGCATATTTTTATAATAATGGTTATGACTTGCATTGTATTTATTATGAACAGAGGTTGCATATTTTTAAAAAAATCAATGGTTTAATATGTAACACCTAAATATATGACCTTCCTGTGGCTACATTTCAAAGGCAATGTGTGTGTTCTCCTTAGCATTTTTTTAAACCTCACTCTTCAGAAAGTTGTAAATATTTCAGAAAGCTTGTTAATCATGAAATCTTGTAAAGTGAAATTTGTCCGGGGTGGGGGGAATCCATACGATTCCGAGCAAATTGCCTTTGTTTCGGATGCACCGGTTCACGTATCAGCACGCCGWTGTGTCATGCCTGGTTACATTTGTCTTGTTGCATTAAAATTATGTTCCTGACAAAGCCAGGCTCAATGCCCCATCTCTGTTGAGTACCAGGCTGCCTATTTTAAGAGCTTTTAACTTTTTAATATAACACGTCCTTACTTTTTTTTTTTGTTTTGTTTCTTTGCAAGAAAGTTTTGAATTTCTCTTCATTTTCCTCACCGAGGGAATGCCACACTTCCCTTACATGTGGTCCAGGCTTAAATGAATGTCTTATTAAATGGATAACACACTTTCTTATGGATATAGAGCACTTCAAAATTGCACTACCGATACCTATGGGGCTACAGAAGAGAATATGACGGGTGTCAAACCTTTTGTGAAATTGCTATTGATTTTCAMGGTCGCATTTTGAAGCAAGAGCGCAAGGTGGACGGTCCGTGGCACCGAGCATCACGGAAACAACGCGAATAGCTCCTATAAACACCTTGTGTTTTTATCACAGGTCCTCTGTGCCCACCGACAGCCATAAACTGAAAGTCTCCTTGAGTATAACAGCTAGAGAGGAGCCGCCTAAAAGAGTAACTTTTCCTACAATTYTCTCTGACATTATTGATCTTCCCAAGCAAAGAGCAAACAGACTATCACTTAATATCGTACCACGTCCTGTAAAGCTGCACAGCCACAAACAGAAGTGGTGATATACTAATTACCTGGAATTCCTACATCAAGACTAACTTTCTTTTGGGAAAGGGATCCTGGACCTCAGAAATCTGGATTTGAGTTATTTATACAAGCACTAAATAAATACATCCTTTAAGCGAGCAGCTTTGCATGTCTTGTCTTTGCAAGCATCTATCCCTGTTGGAGTCTGCAGGTAGCATCCTGCAAAATTAACATATGCAAATTTTATAACTGCAGGAATTAAGAAAACAGCAATTAATCCTGCTAGCAGAGTAATTTTGTCAGAAGTCGATCTTTCTTCAACAACAGTAGTGGATGCACACTGTGTTATGCCATACATCCATAAAAAAGTACCAAAAGGCATTATCTTTTGGAGCAAACATTTTAACAGCAGCACCTGACTCTGCAAACTGACATGAAATAGGCACAAAATAGGTGATCATAAGAACTTGAGCATTTACATATGAGTAAGCCTGAAAATTTCACCCAGTGACACCAGGCAGAATAGGATAAAATACACTTAATATTTCATAATTCAAACTATAATTTTTCCTTATTATAACACTCAAACTCATATGTTACTTGTTAATGACTTCAAAGTAGCCCACTATCCCCATTTTCAGCTCCTCTCAAGTAACAGTGAGCAGTTTATGATCCAGACGTGGTAACACCCTGAGATACTGTGGGGATTCTAGTTTGGGAGCTTTGTAACAGCATTAAAACTTCTATGAAAAAAAATCAAAAATAAAATAAATAAATTGAAAGGCAAATTTGTTAGTCTGAGACCAAACATGTTTTTTTAATGAAATTGACTGGTTTACATCTTGCAGCATTCCAAAAAATTAGAAATAATAAACATCTCAGACTTGCTGCCTCTTTAGCTGGACAGGTTTCCCACAGCTGAATCCTTTGATGATACTCTTTGGACATTCTATTTTAAGAAATTATCCCTCTCTGCTTTTCTCTGGAGGCAAACGCTCTTGCTCTCCTGCCAATCGTCCTGCTGACCTTTCTGTCCTGTACTTGGCTATCCCGTCTCTTTTCCGAAAGCCCTTTCTCCTTCCACAGAGCTAGCCCCTCTTCATTTCCATTGCCAATAATTCCCTCTCAGTTGCCAGAAGTCCTTTTCTCCAGACTGCCAAACTATCTCATCTTCTAGGCTTCCTTCTTCACTTTTGCCAGAAGATTTCTCCCACTTCCAGAGGAAACTGTCTTGCCAAGACCACCCCATGTATTTGCACCAGTGCAACAACCAACATTGATAAAACTGGATATATCAACCGCAGGAAACACATATAGTAATGAAACCTATATTATCATGACATGGGACTTCTATATGAACATTTACCATAACCACATATCAGGAGGAAATTGCTCTTCAAAGGCTGTAGGCAATAATTTTAACTCAATCTCTAATTTCCAAACCAAAATATTATGCTAAAGAACATGCAAAAATACAGACTATGGCCCTTCTTGTGTGGAGAAGAGAGGCCTGGTTGCTAAACACCTCTTCCTATGAATAGTCATAAAAATAGTCATGACTGTAAAAACAGTTGTGCAATAGTATCAGCTGCTTTGTAAAAAATCATGTAAACTACCTAAAAAGGTAGGGAGTGTTGCAGTAACTGCAGCACAGCACTTACCCTCTTGCTCTTTGACATAGCCAGCAACAAAAACTAACTCCATTTCTCAGTAAGGACTATTTATGAGATGCTGCATGCTGTGAGTCACAGAGCAGAAACCATCCTTGACGAGGGACTGAAGGAGGTTAATTCTGCCTGGCCTGCTACAAGGATCTATCTGCAGGAATCTTATTCTTTTCAGCTACAGCTTGMGATTTATCTCTACCTATCCCAGCCAAACTTGGCATTTAAACATGCTGATACCGTCACTCAAAATCTCCAGGCTCGATTACCAGAATCCTCATAATCACAGTAGCAAACTACTAACTTTAACAGAACTACCAATCTTCCGCAGCACAGCAGAACATGAGGAAGAGGAGGCCTCCAGCCCTTCACCCTCGCGCTCTGCCCTYCTCCCACGAGACCTCAAACAAGATCCCTTATTTCGAAGCCCCCAAGGGAGTCACCAGCTCCGTGGGATCTATCACACATCACGAACACTTTTAGGGCTCCTAAGCCCTGAAACTTGTTAGGATTTTGAGGGCCTTCCAAGCTCTCCCTGTGCCAGTTTTACCGGGCCAAGGTAGCCAGTAACCTAATCTTCACATTCGTGTTTTATACAGCAAAMTGGAACAGCTTTCAATTTAGGGACAAAGACACTCTGCAGCTGAAGAAAATTCTCACAGTATGTTGAGAAGAATCTACTTCAATTGTGGTCAGTTGTCATGGAGAAAGAAGAGGGGGGGGAGGAAAAAAAAAAGTATATTCCCATGTGAAAACCTTTCCCGTTGCAACACGTACGCACACGCAGAGGCCCTGCTCCCCTCCTTCCTGCGCTTGACATTTTATGCGAAGTAGGTGAATCCGGAACAAGCCATCGCTTTAAAAAATACATATATTCATTATGCTATTTACGTACATCAGTGCGGTGGTGTAAAAGTACAAGAGGAATGCGCTCACAATTGGTTTAAGTCATTTTCTCTTGGCAAATGCCCATAAAAAGCAGGGGCGTCGCGGCGCCACCAGAATCCTAAATTGTGGTGGGGACTCGTCAGTACACATGGCATTAATCTCTGTCSCTTTGCAGGAGCCACCCTTGCTTGCATTGCCGGCCTGCCTCTTAAATCTCACATGTTGTAAGTGGAGTTTAAAATGACACCATAAATAAGATATCCCCTTCCCCCCCAGCCCTCCTCCAGACAAAAAAAAATCACCCACTTTATTAAAAAGACACATATTTCAGACAGTTTGTTCCAGTTAGCATTCTTTATTGCCAACGCGCATCGAAAGCGTAATACTAATGGGTTAATAATAGACCGTGTAATCTTCAGTATTCGTATTGGACATGATTCAGACTACTGAGAGACTTTTTAAATATATACATATAATTAGTTAACCCATTGGTATTACGTTCTCGTTACTTTGAATTGATCACAAGACTTTAGGGATCTCATTATACCGTACCGGTTTATGTTCCCTGGTGGCTGAGAGCACTTAGCTGTCTTAACATCTTACTATTAAACGCTTACTGAGCTTTCGTGTCATCTTCTACCTTTTCCCGAAATTTGGAAGAGCAGAGTTTTGCTAATTCAGTAATTTGAAATATAACCACTCTCTCTGCAAATTTCTCTATGATCTGTGAAAGTTTTTTTTAAAATGTCCTGCTAGAAGACATTCATGTCTTCTAAAGGAAATTCTGTCTCTATTTCAGTGGAAAACTAGAAGACTGATAGTTTGGGTACACCCACGCAAAATAAAATAAGGATCCTGAAAGACTTCCTGGGGGGGGGTTAATGGAGGCCAGGGTAATGGTAACTGACCCTGAAGTCCTCAGATGAAGCTTCATGTTTGTCCTCAGATTATTTATATATTTTTTCTAAGGATTCTTTAATATGCAAACCTAACTTTGTCAACCTGATGGTGAGAGTCCAAAAAATGCCACAAGTGCCACCTTTATATCTACTTTAAACAAAAAAGCAATAAATTTGGAAATATACTGAGTTGCTCTTGTTATTTTCTATTTAACATAGCTTTGTCAGAAACATGCTAGCATTATTCAGAGGCAGTACAGCAGCACAGCATTAGCATATTAAATAATTATCAGATACAAGTATTTTAAACAAAACTTACCCACAATGACACATGTTTAATTCAGATTGTGAGCCATGGTGTGCTTTTCCCAACAAGTTATGTGACTGCAACACCGTCTTAAAAAGCTATTATTCAAGGTACCTCAGGAAAAAAAAAAAAGGGGGAAAAAAAAAGTGTTAAAAGATCCATACGCAGGGTTTCTGCAAATGAATATGATGTATTCCAGAAACAACATGCATTCACACAGACACTCAATAAGAAAGRGACTGTTTACTCAGTTTATAGCTTGAAAACCACTAGGGACTGTGTTCCAGTATGGGAAATTTTAGTACAGTGCATTGTTAATACAAAATAAAAAGCAAGCCTGGGAAGTTCGGATTATATTTTTTTGAAAATGCTCGTTTGGACCATTAAAAAAAATATTGCCTTCTAATGTCAAAGTATGAACAAATACTTTTTCAGATGAATAAAATCTGTAATCAGTTAGATAAGAGCAATATGCCTTTTCTTGGCATTTAATCAAACAATGAAATCACATACACATTTCCTGACACAAAAGACAAATGATGTAATAATCTGAAGGAGTTTCTCTATCTCCTTGGAACTTTGCATACTTGACTTGTTTTCTGTATTTTGTGACTTTAAATGGTGGGAAAATTATATTAAAATGCTTGTAGCAGTTCCTCTAAACTAGCATCCTTTTTGTTTTATTGTATTTAATATAAAAGCAGCAATTATTTGATTTCAAAGTTATGAAAATATGTACCTTATGAGAAAACAAGCAATTTAAGCTTTAATTGGTGTCATTTTTCACAGAACTGGCAAGATTCTTGCATCCCTGGCATGTTGTTTTCTATAAAACTGCAGAGCTGCTTTCAATGAATGTTTTACGAATGTATAAGTTGTTACATGAAGGTATGTGAGTGGATGCCTGGAAATACAAGATTTCTGGGGGTATTTATTCACAAAAGATGCATTTCATTTCATAGAGTATATATATACTGTAATTTTTCCTTAATATTCCTAATGTGTTTTGCTTCCCATTAAGCATTTCTTCCATTCTTGTATGAGAAGAAAGGGGAGGTATCTTAGAAGCATATTTTGCACAGGAGAAATAAAGATGGGGGAAACAATGAGGAAAAAATATATTTTGAAAAGATTATTTTAATGTAAAATCAAACACTTAAATCTTTTTTTTTTCTTTTTTTTTTTAAGTGAAAGGCTCACACCTTAATTCATCTCTCCTATATGAAGTGTATAATATTCTTAGCTGTCAAGGCTGTGTGTAGAGATGCATTATTTTCTTCTTTTACTTATACATATACTTACACATACATAAATATATGTGCATATGTGTATACATACAGACATATTTATTTGCATTTATGGTACCTGTAAGACCCGAACTAGAGCCCTGCTAGAACATGAGGTCCTGTACACATGCCCTGCAAGACATGGTCCCAGGTAGCCCGGCCTGCACATGCTGCTCTTTGACCCYCCATACTGGTAATTAAAGGGGATGTATGGCTGCACATAAGGAGTACACGATACCCATTGAAGCACACGGTGACCTGGCCACGTGAGAAGAGCTCGAGCACACTGAGAAATTGCTGAAAACCTGAGACACGGCAGTACCATTTGCAGGTCCGTATGGGAGAGAAGGGCCCATGGACTCTGCCTCGCCAGGCTTTCCATCCCACACGTGGCACAAGCCGTGGCTTCGTTAACTCAAAGAGGAAATTATTTCTTCCAGAATGACTCCATTCCAGCAAAAACATATGAAAACTCCACTACTGCCACTGGATTGGGACCCTGCCTGCCCTGAGCAACCAGCCAGACTTAAGGTTGACAGMGTCTTGACACAGTGTCTTAGTGTCTCCTAAGAGGCCAATAGATTGGACTTTTCTTGTCTTAAGACCTGGAAACATCATGAGCTGGAGCATCACAAGCTTCAGGACTATCAGCAAGTATCAGCCTCAGCAGGGACGACCCTCTTCGTTTTAAGCAATTACTTAAGCATTCACACCCATTTAGCCAATAACTTCTCTGTTCTAGATTTTATTAGGTGGACACAAACACCTTTTGGGCCATGAATGTTTCTGCTTACCTACCTTCATGTTGGAACTGGCCACAGATACCTGTGAAATACCCAAATACAGTGACTTTACATCTTCTTACCTACCTCCTAATATAACCCTTCTTACAGCTAAACTCCCAGTATCATGACTTTTTATCTGTTTGTGACCATTCCCTCTTCACACTTCAACGTTTTAATTAAAAAGCAATAAAACACTTTAATTTGAGGTTTCTACATAAAAATACAAGTAAAAATACAAATATACTGGGCAAATACTGTTGAAATCTGAGCTGAAAGGCAGTTAGAGTAACTTTAACCACCTGAGAAATGCAATAATCACCCTGAAATGCACAGCCTGGAGTGTTTTATTGCCATTATAAACTGCAATTTATACATTAAAATAAGGAAAACAGTCAGGCCCATCTATTTATGAGCTATAATAAATACGCTCATGACATCACTGACAACCACTCACAAACTTCCAAATACGTCCAGAGTTTTAAAGCAATTTCACACTTACCTTTGAAATCTGTTTTCTATCAGCACATGTGTGTTTCTGGGGTGTACACACACACACACAAGCGCAGACCTGATCCTGCACTGGTGTCTTCATGGGTGCAAAGGTCTAAGAGCAGCTCACAGCAAGCTTTGATGCTCGGCCTAACTTCATGCCTGTGCAAAACAAAAACAATCCCATCTTTAAAAGGTTCAAAGAATAATCTAAATATTGTTTTGTACATCTTTTCATTAAAAACACATCTTAGCAGCAATCTAGTGGGTAAATATCTGAAATGGCTAGTTACAGCTCCTCTGAAATCCTTCTTTTTGAGGGTCAATCATTCCTTAGCTATTTAGGCCAAGTGGTTGCACCCCAGAAAAGTGAGCCTTTGCACGCAGCTTTGCCCACACTCGCTTGGTCACTTCTGCCAGATTTCTTCAAAAACAGCCCCAACTTTTGTTCTTTGCAATGTTGCAAGCTTCTTGGGGGAGAAGAGCTTCTGAAATGGATAAATCACACCTCAGGGAATAAATCTCCTCTAAGAACCAACTAACAGGATAAGCCTGTAATAGAAATATAAATCAATGGCTTTTTTTTTTTTTTTTTTTTTTTTTTGGTGTTTAGAAAGCTTCTCTAATGCTCAAGCCCCTTTCCTGACATAACTTGTCATGGTAACTCTGCCTTCTGGCTGCTGATTCATTTGTCACATGCGCTGCAGCTTCATCTGAATCAAAGATCTCCTGCTTTTTCCTAGGACACCAATAACCTGGAGCAAAACTACAGAAGAGGAGACACAGCAGCAGCCACAGGGGCCTGATCCAGCAGCAGAAACCAAGCAAGGGCTCTTGCGTGGGAAGAAGTGAAGATCGGGGAAAAAAGCAAGATTTATTGGTACTAACCCATTCATTTTTTATCTGTCCCAGTCAATCCATCTTGTTCGCCACTCGGTCCTATCCTCATATTCCAGTGGTGATTACTTTTCTTCCCATGTTTTCCCTTAAACCAGTCTAACCTCTTTCCTGTGGAAGGTATTCCTGATTTTCACATCACCTGTTCACGGGGATATCATGTGAGCATGAACCCATGTTCAAATACCTCAGTTATGAGCAAGCACTTGGCAAGCTTCAAGGTGCCTGTCTTTACAATGAAAAGCAAATGAAAAGAGCCACTTTTTTTTTTACCACTTCACAGGTGGAAAAATTGAAGAACAGGGATATTTTGCATTTTTTCCAGTTGCAGAAGACATCAACAGCAAACAAGTTTCAGGTGACTGCCCCTTGGAGCCATCCATTAACAGCAAGATAAACTTTTGGTCTGTTTTGTCTCTTCCTTTTTCAAAGGAATGACTTGTTGCTTTTCCTTTGAACACCGTACTTTCTAATACCTGAAATTCAAGAGTTCCACCTTGAATTCGAACTTYGATAGCAAAGCACAGAGCTCTTAAACTTGCCTCGGTATTTTAAAGTAAGCCAGGTACGGAAAGCAAAATCCAGACCCCACATGCTTCATGCCTTTGATGTATCTAGAGAAGAACTGAAAGGTAGTGTAACCCAGATCAAGTTTATCAGCCATAACTATGAGAAAAAAATCTCTTGATCATCCAAAAACAATAGAAAAGGTTGCTAGTATCATCTCTTCAGGACAGTCTCTCCCATTCAAATATCTGAGCCAGAATTGAGGTTATCACTTATTTCTCCATGACTTTGTGTGCCCATGGCTATAAGACATATATTCCCTTGGAAGTATTTTCAATTTTAGGTTATGAAGAGCACTTTTTGCCAGAATTGCATTCCATACCAGTATTGTTTTGCTTTCCATCAAGAAAGAAAGTCAATCCTTCGCCTACACTGGAAATCAAACCAAAAAAACCCCYCTGTCTTCTTTTAGTTGCACCATCCTATACTACCTGATGTCACCAACATCCCACAAAAGCTCAGGGAAGCCCTGGGAGTTTGGCAGCAAACACCAATGCAGGGATAAGGCTTTTTATGGGAGACAATTTGCTCAATTACGGAGGAGGGACTGGAGCAGGACACTGGGGCTCATATCCACTGCCAGGGTCACTGGGAAGCAAAGCTCACTGCCTGATGAATAAAACAGACACTAAGAAAGCTTTTTTCTTTCACTTTAAATATAGGTTAGCATTTTGAATATACCTAATCAATTTGGATGGCATATTGCTGAGGAGGGATAGCAGAGAAGGAAAAAAAAAAAGAAAAAAAAAACTTTTTAGTGCTGCTTACTAACATTTTAATAATTAAAAATATTTATCAATTCAATGTAACCTAGATATCTAAGCATTTGCAGACCGTCACTTGCATATTAGTAACACACATTTTCCTGCCTCATTTAATTTTGAGAAAAGCATTAAGTTAAAACAAATGCCAGTGTCTGATCTAAAATTCAGAGCATTTGAACATTTCATGATACCCAGTTGATATACAGGGATTAGTCTCTCCCAAAACATAGATACTGTTCCTCTTAATATTTGATATGTGTTATTTGCTATTTGAACTGCATGCTCTGTCACTGTAGAGCTCTTGTTCTTTGATTAGATGATCTAAGCTTTATAAGCAGGTGGCTACTCCGATTAATTTGCTTCGGCTTTGCTTTTCTCTAAGGGATAGTGGAAATACTTTAGCTGGTAGAAAGGACAGGCTATGAGAGGGTGGAAATCAGGCCTACAGAATGAGAAATTTAAGCCTTTTCTTACAACCAACAGCAAGCAATCCATACAGTTTAGTATAGGGAGTAACAGCTTAAAAAGCCTAGTCTTTCCCTTAATAAGGGGGCACGGGGGCAATAAAACAGTAAAGTGCAAAATGTATTCAACTCTGCATTCAGGCTTCTCTTTTTGAGACTTCCAGTGAAAATGAATCTGTACAACTCTAAACCAAGCTCTAATCCTGCAAAAACATATTTATATGCTTAGCTGTACCCTACTTGAGCAGCATCATTTTCATCAACAGGTTTCATCATGGGGCTACTTAGAGACATTAACACTAATTAAACACAAGCATAAACTCTTTGCAGGATTGAGACCTAAATGACTTCAATTTCCACTAGAAATTATTTTCATTTCATAACTAAAGCAAAATTTTGCTACTGACTTGGAACCTGATCCACTTAAATGAAGATAAAAACTCCATCCGCACAAGTGTTTTCAAAAAGCCAATAGCAACAATGAAAATATTTGGATTTGAATTTTTAGCTAAGATTTGGTTTCTGACTTGTTGTTTTTACTAACGTTGTTCACCATTCTTCATTATCGCCCTGACTGCCTTTATACACACTATTAGCTGCACATGAGGTTTGACTACTGTTTGTCTTGATTTTGTGTCTAGTGGCGTGCCAGAAACCTGTCCAAAATGACAACAACCATGTGCTCTACTGAGGGACCTCCTGGATCTGACACTTTGCAAAACAACGTGCAAGTGCCCTCAGTTCCTGATTCCTCAAGATCCTGCATGGAAGGGAAATTTCCTCTAGCAGGTTGAGGCTGTACCAGTATCCTTCAGGGAACCTACCTGATCCAGCAGCTCTGAATCACCTTGGTCCCTCCATAGGCATCTCTCCAGCACCAATGAGAKAATATGAAATAGCTCAAAAAAGGCCACCACATTGCACAGAATGATTGAGCCCCCATGGGAATTCTGATAAAACTTGTCTGCTGCAAACTCCTGATAATTAATATTTCTACTGTGAGGCTGTGTACTCTTTTCGGGAGCAAAGTTCAGGTTTGCTCTCCATGACATATCTTGTTTAACATGCACCATCCCAGAGCCTGTTCTGGAAAATTACCATTTTTCAGATGTGACCTTGAAAAAGCCAAGAAGAACTAAAAAGAATCCACAGCAGAGCCATGGTGCTATATTCCCATGCAGACAAAGCAGAAAACAGAAATCTGTACAAGGCTGTTGCTGAGTATAGGCACTGTGCCTTTTTTGAAGTCAAACTGATGTTCCTCACAACTTTGAAAAGTGAATGTTGGACTCATGATCAGTCTCCTGTGGTTTAAAATCCAAGAATCATTTAGTAGGCTCTTTCCCCAGCAGTGTCAACCACAGCAGAGAAATACATCTTTGGGCTGAAGCAATTATACTCCTCACAACACTGATGTGGTTTGCAGGGTGGTGGAAGAACTAGTACTCCTCTTATTGAAAAATCATGGTGGGGGCTTCAATAGCAACAGTCAAAAATCTCATGAGATTATAAAGTACTTCAGAATATTAGTGTAAACAAACTTTATTTATAACATTTTCTCCTCAAAATATATGCACTTCAAACTTCTAGTGGGCCTTGTCCAAGAACTTTTCTAAAATGACATTGTCAAGCCAAGGCCAAAAACTTGATATATTTACTCAGACTGAATATAAAAATACTACTGTTTATCTTGACGAGCCAGCTAGGAAATCTCACCATGCCTGGAACTGCTGATGCCCCAAAGAGCTGCAGCCCCGAAGCCAATCGGGAATCCAACGCAGTGTTACGGCATCGATGTTATGGAAAGAGCAAGTCGTGGAGTGCAGGGTATCGGTGCACCCTCCCTCGAATATCATTTGTACTCTTGCTGTACTATTTTGAGTCTTTGGAGCTCTATTTTGAGTCTTTGAATGCTCTGCTCTACGAAYACATCCAGGAATACAGCAGGAAGTACAACATAAACCAAAATATCCCTGCAAAGAGGTTCCTTCAGCCTCTTTTTGGAAGCTGGATTTAGAAGATGGGACAAGCTGCCAGCCATGGCCTTCCATGGCACGTCCCGTTACCTCCATGCTGCCATCAGCTCAGGGCTCTAAAATCCCAAAATAGGGAACCTACTCAAAAATCCTTTTTCTTTCTCTCTCTTTTTTTTTTTTTTTTTTTTAATGAAAAGTAGTTGAGAGAGTGGGAATGTTTGTTATGAATGTGCCTCATTTATATACTTTTTAATTTCTCTGCATGGGGAGTCCATGAAGAATAATAAATTCTTATATTTTAGAAACTAGGAGAGTTGAAAATTTAATGCTGTGAAGGGTTTTAAGGAATAAAAGAGAGTYGCTGTTGTTGCAGAAGATGATATCTCCATCCTTTTTCAA